GGTCAAATAGTGTTCTGTGCTCGTCTATGCAGCCAACGACAGAACAGTTTTCATGCTTTGCTCGAACTTTCGCCATTGCGTTAGAACTGGTTACACTGTTGTCGTTTGCGTAAACCAAATGGCACCGTCGTGCAGATTGAGGGGAGGTGATATTATAATAAGATCCCCTTCCTACATCAGAAGGGGATCGAAATCAGATCGGCTTAATTTTTGAAATGCTTGCAGAGAAAGGCTTACCAAAACAAAGTTACTGGGTTGTCACATTTTTTTTACGTTTTCAGGGTTGGTAGATGCACTGGGCACCCGATTATAGCACTTAAACAGTCAGATTTTCATGATATTTCCCCTTTAACTTCAAATCATTGATTATGCAATACATAGGATATATCGTAGATTAAAAACCTTGGAGCTGGAGGTAGGTCTTGAAATCTTTATAGTCCATGCCATCACAATTTTTCTATGGAAAAAATGTATGGTATTAATTTTCCTGACGGTCATGCCCTATAGAGGTATCAGAGTACCACACGGTTAATCACAATTTACAGAAATAACACACATGCACAAACTCTATGAGCCTTGGCAGTGTGCACTTTGTGCCCTTGCTCTCTGTAAATGAAGGAGATATGCTTTCATTACAGAGGCCTTTGGGTGAAAGATGTCCTGTCCTCATGACACCGGAGTCACAGAGAATTAGGGACCCTTATTAAAGCCATGATCTAATTTTCAAACCTGATTCTGTGAAATCACACAATCTATCTGCAGTCTGCTGTGCTGTTTTAAAATGAGTGCATCTCTCTTACATTCTTTCACCTCTCTTACATGTATAATCATTTCATAGAGGCAGCACTGTATTGATATTCCTCAATCATTTTGCTTAGGGTTTGTTATAAACCTATCATACTTCTACAAATAATTCATCCTGAATTTCTTAACATACAGATGCATGCAAACAACAAAAATCAGCCTTACACGGTTTCCTTCAGAAAATGCAACCCTGTAGTTCATTTTGCTTACTCAATGCTAAATGTCTATAATACACATCAATGATAGAGTTGGATGTTTTAGAAGATTGGAGCACAATAGTAACCACCAATTCAGGACTGAAGAGAACAAATGTAGCAATTTAAATAAATAAAAGCTCATTGCACTATCAATTGATGCAGATACTTGGAGACCAATTTGGCAGTATGGTGGCAATATATCCATTTGTAATATAACTAAAGAATTACAGTTCAAATTTTTACATCGTCTCCAAATTACCTCATTACGCAGACAATGAGTTTAAGTTGAACTCAAATTATTCTCCGCATTATCTAAAGTGCAAAGTAGAAGAGGGAGACTCTGTTCACTGTACTTGGAAATGTATACATATTAAAGCCTACTGGATACAGATTTGTAGAAGACTAACTTATATTCAATACATGATGTGACCTCAATCCACTTTATTTTTTGTTAGGTATTGCTGATAATAATATAAAGAGTGCTTCAAACTGAAAGTTGTTTAATCTCCTTACTTAAACTGCCCGTAAGCACATTTATATTAAATGGATCTCTGATAAACTGCCAACAGTGTCAGAGTGGCATAAAGTGGTATCTGATTTTCTTTCACAGGAATATATTGCGTATTGGTCAAAAGGGAAAATGGATGTGTTATATCAGACGTGGACCCTCTTTTTACATATTTAGGTCCCAAGATATCACCTACCTTTTTGCGAATCCTTGGCAGGTCAAAATGGACCCAAAATAGATGTTTTCTTTGTGTTTTTTCTTTCTTTATTTATTTTTGATGATGATATCTATGGTTTTTGTAATATACCTGTTGTAATCTGTGGTCACTGTTCTATTAATTTGTTATGTTAAAGTAAAGAATAAAGAAAGTTAACCAGTATTCTGAACAAGGGTCACAGAGATTTTGCCTAGACAGACATGTTCCTGGATCAACATTCTTGTCTGAAAAATTCCTATTCCTACCCCTAAACCTAACCCATACCCATAACTCATCCCTAAAATCTGAGGGAATTGATGGGTGAATTATTGAATAACATCGACGTAGAAACACCTAACCCTGGTTGTAAGCCTAAACTTGACAAACTTTAAACTTGACCCTCAAATCCAATTGGTTGATTGGGATGTTGTTCCAGGATCAACAAAGATGGAACAACATACTTGGTGAAATCACGTTTACCTGCTTGTGTTCAGACATAATAGTTGATTGCTATTTTGAGAAACAGAGATGAAACTAATAGTGGTGAATAAAGAGCAGGAAATGGGGTATTGATTCAGATCACACTGGTCTTCATGCTAGACCAGAGGCAAATCATGCAGTTAAAGAACATTTAGGGAATATTGGCCAAAAAGTCAGAAATTACCAATTTGGGGCCACAAAATTGCTGCAATTGTCAAAAATTACTACACAAAATATTTACTTCAAGCAAATAATAATGATCATGTGAAACAACTCTTCACTGCATTTACAGTATACAAGAAGTGTTTAACTCCCTAACTTTTTATGATGTTTATACTGCCTGTTCATATTTTGTTTATATGGTATTTATATTCACCTCTTCACTTTATACTAAAACAGTTTTACTACATCTTATTTGTATGGCACTTTTCATACAAAAACTACTGATAAACTGCATCGAGCGAGCGAGCGAGTGAATGAATGTGCTTCATCAAATGAGGAAGCCTTGCAGACGTAAAAAAATAAAAAAATAAACTTATCAAAAACAATATCCTGATTTCTAACTAATCTGGAACTGAAAGCTACCCAGATTTGAAAACTATTTATCTGCTGAAATGAGCCCAGGGCCAAATCAATAGTGCTGAAGGACAGAAGGACAAGAGAATGAAACGCTCAAGGACATGTTCAGTGCAATCTAACTGCTGTTTTTCACTGCATTTCCCTCAGTTTTGTAAGTGCAAGCCAACAATAACTTTGCAAGTAGACGCTGCTGTTCACCCCAACCTCCTCTTGCCTTCCCACTTCGGCTCTGGGGAGAAAACCCATCCCACCCACAGACTCGGGACGCTTCCAACTCATTAACACGGGCTTGGAGAGTTTTTAATTAGCATTAATGTGCTGGAGCTAACACAAGCAGCGTTTCTGAACTCTCTCACTGGGGACTGGATAGGGAATTACAATTAGAAGTGTTCCACTGTGCTGGGACTCAAGTATGAGAACTCACGTGCATCACCTTGCAGAGGCTCTCTCTACCCCCGTCTGAACGGGATGATCTGACTCTAAAGCTTCAGAATGATAGAGATTTAAGAAGTTATTTTCTTTCTACACAACCTCCGGAACCCAAAAGCGTCTTTTTTCAACCCAAAGGCCTGACAAAGCAGAGTGAGAAGATGCTTCAGTCAGGTACAAATCAAACCCTTATCTTCACAAGTAAACTTCACACACTCGCACACATAAATGTGAATGCTTTGGGCACACATACACACAAATCCACATGTCTGACAAGCACATTTTCCCATGGCTAAGTTAAGCAGTAGCTGGAAGAATTTTATAGAGACTGGTTTAAAGAAGATCTGAGTCATTCAGGTATAAACATTCTGTCACTTATTCTGTGGTAAAGGGAAAACAAAACCCAGAGTGTGCAGATTTCCAATCATTTGAACACCTGCAAAAAAAAAAACATATAATCGAGATTGTTATTTAACCAAATGGGCACAACCAACCAATCTGTCGTCAATACTATGCGACTGAATGTGAAACTGGAAAATGAACAGGTGCAGCTGAAAAAAAACAAACATGTTTGTACAGACAGAAAGATGAGCCTATAGAAATACTCAGCACCCTGCTGACAGTCCCGATCCCGTCTGTTAAGGTCAAATGAAACCCCATTTAGTGGAAGGGACAGAGGTCAGAGGTCAAGGGAACCAAAACACATGCCAAGAGTAGCTAACAGGGATCATGACCTATTTACAGTCTCAACTCACAACCCTGAAGCCATGTTTAACACTGTGAGGACATCTATTAGGCTGCCATCAGTGTCTCCTGTCATATGGGGGGAAAACGCATATTTTACTTATTCACATTATTTTTCTCATTTTATGAGTGATTCTATTCCTCTGGCCTCCCTCCTAAGCTATGGCGGCCCCAAAAAGTTATTTGCACTTAAGAAAATGTTTTGAACACTTAAAAATTGCAAAGAAAGAAGTCGTTTGCTTGCATTATAGTTATAAAACAACAGTTGTGCTCAAAATTTTAGACAAAAAAAAACTGTTCAAAAGTTTGGGGTCGGTACAATTTTTTTTATAAAGAAGTCTCTTGTGCTCAAAAAGGCTGCATTTATTTGAACAAAAATACAGTAAAAACAGTAATATTGTGAAAATTGTTATAATTTAAAATAACTATGAAATTACATTCAAATAGAACATTTATTTATTTAATTTTTTTATGTATTCTTGTGATGGCAAACAATATTTTCAGCAGCCATTACTGCAGTCTTCAGTGTCACATGATCTTTCAGTAACATTCTTTATTATTATCAATATTGAAAACAGTTGTGCTGCTTAATATTTTTGTGTGGAAACTGTGATGTTTGTGGAAACGGTGATGATGAATAATGTGTAATGATGAATAAAGAACAGCATTTATTTGGAAACGTGTTTTTTGGTTGGGTTCGTAAAAATCTTTTTTTTTTTATTTTTTTATACGAACCCCCAGCTTTTGAACAGTTTGGACACTTTCTGGCTCTCACTTGTTGAACATGTTCAGTGTTAATGAAAATGAGATTGGGACTAGATTGTCCTTATGCATGTAATGAAATTCATACAATTTAAGTGTTTGGGGCCACTGTACATTATGCCTATGGCTTAGTGGTTAAAGGTCTGGGCTTTACGAATAAGGGGTAGGTTTGAAACCCTAAAGGGACAATTCATGAGCTACCACTGCAACCCCATGAAAAAAAACAAGTGCCATTTTCTTTCCTGTTTTGACATATTCCCTATATATAAAGCATCTGCCAAATGTAAATGTGCTGTTTTACCTTAAAAGCTGCTCCTCCATGGATTATGGACTTGATAAAGATGCCCAGGTCCTCGCCGGTCTCACGGGACTTATTACCTTTCAGGCTGACCCCTAACCCAGCTGAGCCCGAGTCATTGAGGGGGACCTCAAACATCAGCTGCTCCTTTCCTTCCTCAGACAGCAGCAAGCGGGCCTGCTCCTCTTTCTGACGGGAAAACAACAATGACGGAAGAGAATGAGACGAGGGAAAAGACAGGTCATTCCATTCAAACATAAAAAGCCCACTATTTTAGCAGAGAATAGCTCAACCTTTTCATGCCTCTTTTCTGCCTGTGATGGCAATGGGGTCATTTAGAAACATAATCCATTCTCCATTATGTAGTCCACACTCTCAGCTCCCCGCTGCATTCTCCCTCCCGCTTTCCCTATTTCCTTTCTTTTCTCTTTGTCTGTTCTCTTGCCATAATGATGCTAAAATTACCTGTACATCTCTTCAGCGAAAGTTTGTTTTAAAATGAATGTTAATAAAAAGGGAGGGGAAATTTTCATTATTATATCTATGTGGTAAAAATAATATTATGTCGCCACGGGAACAGGCTTTCTTTGCAGAGAAGAATGAAGAAGAGCAAATGAAGGAGAAAATGGTTTTGAAAAAGGTCTGAAAGTAGTTTGTGTTTGATCTATATAATGGCATAGTAGTGTCAGTTAGAAATACATAATAAGAGAGAGAAAGAGAGAAAGATGTTGACGTCAAAGTGTCTAACAGTGTTTTAATGGTGCAAGTGAAACATCCAACTCTTTCTCTGTGCATCTCAAATATCCACGGTCCCAATGAGCATGTTCAATGAGACAGATCTTGAAAAGATCAGTCATGTGAAAAAGAAACGACACTATAAAATTATATGGTTTTACGTACAGTATCAGAACATAATAAAAAATCCTCTGGTTCTTGGTAGGTCCTAAAATGAGGTAAATACAACCTCAGATGAACAACACCACATTACATATTACACTGTGTAATTATTTGTTTAACAAAAACTAGGCCAAAATAGAGAACCAATGGGTGACAAGCCAAGTACACCCTTACTGCTTCCATAGGAAGAGTGTAAGTAGCAGGCAGGCGCTGCTGATCAAAAGTCTTTGATTATCTGAACATCAGCAAGTGTGATCATATAAAAGCAGAAATTTGGCCAGTAGTCCTGTCTAGAGCCTTCAGTTGTGTGTTAGTTAGCAAGGAGGAAAGCCATCAGCAATGATCTTAGAGAAGCAATTGTTGCTGCCATCTGGGAAGGGTTATACAGCCATTTAGAAACAATTTGAAGTCCATCATTCTACAGTGAGGAAGATTATTCACACATTCAAAACAGTTGCCAATCTTCCCAGGAGTGGACGCCCCAGCTAATTCACATCTGTGCATTGCTCAGAGAAACTCCAAAAAACCCTAGAGCTACATCTCGGACTCTACAGGCCTCAATTAACATTGGAAGGGTTTGAATGGAAGGGTTGCCAGAAAAAAAAGCCTATTCTCTCAAAAGAGAACATGGCAGGATGGCTTAGGTTTGCAAAGTTGCATCTGAACAATGTCCTTTGCACAGACGAGTCCAAAGTGGAGATGTTTGGCCATAATGCACGAATAATGCACGATTGGCGAAAACCAAACACAGCAGATCAGCACAAACACCTCATACCAACGGTCAAGGAGGGGTGATGATTTGGGCTTGTTTTGAAGCCACAGGAACTGGGCACCTTGCAGTCATTGAGTTGACCACAGTATACCAAAGTATTCTAGGGTCAAGTGAAGCCATCTGTTCGACAGCTAAAGCTTGGCCGAAACTGGGCCATGCAACAATAATCCTAAGAACACCAGCAAATCTACACCAGAATGCCTGAAAAAGAAACGAATCAAGGTGTTGCACTGGCCCACTCAAAGTCCAGACCTCAACCCGGTGTGCATAAGCACATGCCCACAAACCTTAATGAACTGATGCAATGTTGTTGAGAAGAGTGGGGCAAAAATTCCTCCAGAACGATGTGAGAGACTGATAAAGTCATACAGAAAATGATTACTTCAAGTTCATTGTGGCTAAAAGTGGCTCTACAAGCAACTAAGTCACAGCGTGTACTTCGTTTGCCACCCATGGCTTCTCCATTTCGGCTTTACTTTTGTTAAATAAATAATGACACAATGTAATACTGTTTGTCATGTGGTGTTGTTCATCTGAGGTTGTATTTACCTATTTTTAAGACCTGCTAATGACCAGATTATTTATTTTTTGTCCTGATACGTAAAACCATGGAATTCAAAAGGGTGTACTTTCTTTTTCACACGACTGTATATAATAGTTTTATGTACCATGTAATCATACTCTAACAGTAACTAACAACATAAAGCTTCCTCCCCAGTCCAAAAGGCCATTTATAGCAACTATAGGCTGAACAGATCTCAGCCTTCCTGCGATCTCCTGGGTTGCAGCAGCCGTTCGTAAGGTCTTTACATTGCAACGTAAAGTCTACACTTTGGGGCTTAGTAACTTATAGCTACGATATTTGCTAGTTTATACCTAACTCAGTACTTCATGCAGTTGCACCATTGTCAGAACATGGATAGTAGTCGGCAAGTCTTCATCCAACTTTATTTGCATATGTCCAGTACACTCACATAAAACAATTTATGCTTGATTGATTGTTTATATTGTCTCAAAATGTAAACTATATTATCGCCCAGCTCTAATCTGCAATGCAACTATAAGGTATGAAGATAATATAAACATAAACCTTGCGATATTAAATAAAGATGTTCTGAAAAAAATTATATTGTAAAAAGCACTATCGAAATTAAAGTTACTTGACTATATGGATGTATAATGTTTACAATGTAAACAAATAGAAGTCTTAAAGGTGCAGTAGCAAAAAGAGCTTTGTTTAATTCAGAGAGTCAGTGAGAGAATCGAAAATGGTCATGTAAAACTAAATGTGTAATAACCCAGACTTCAAAAGTGTAGAAAATAGCCCCTCATCCCACCAGACACTACAAGACACATGATGCACAACCAGTAGTGTACATTATCCTTAGAACTTACAGGAACTGTGAGGACTGTAAATATTACGAAACATTATTGCAAGAATGAACAGGATTGAGAAGACCAGCTAAGACGGAGTATGTGTGGGTCAGCAAGGCTTGGTTTATCTCGGTTTACTGTGGGATTGCAGGTTTTGAAAGTATTAGTGTAAAGCACTCACAAACAAACACACACACACACACACACACACACACACACACACACACACACACACACACACACACGACTCAGCAACTCTGTGAATTTCTGTGAAGACTGAAAAATACAGCTGATTGTGTGTCATATATAGAGGAAATAGAGGAAAAGGCGATGGGGTTTAAGGAATTTAACCCTGAGAAGATGCCCTAAATGCCCTCAAACTAACTTCCAAATGCCAGAGTGACCGAATCGTACGTGTCAAAACTGTTCAAACACACACATCAAACTATAAAAAATGATTTATGTACCAAAGCCATTTTCAAATGACCTGGATACACGTGTGAGCGGATTTTCTGAATAACCACCCTCTCATTTGTTCATCAACACATGTGTTTGAGTAACTAAACCCAAATGAAAGACAGCAAGACCATCCATGTGAGGTTCAGAATGAAGACAAAGCTCTGGGATCACAGCAAGTCTATCAGCTGGGGAAATCATAGGGCTAAAGCCTGCTGTGTGAACAACTAGCAGCGCTCCTGTATGCTAACAGTCGTGATATTTCACAGCCGAGCCCCCTGCCAGGACCCTGCTCTGAATCGAAATGCCACATCGCATTTCCTTCAGCCATTTTCCCTGGCTAGAAAAGGTTTATCAGTCAGCATGAGACATGTGTCTCCAGAACAAGTCTTTCTCCAGTGAGCTTTATTGTTTTAATCATTGTGACAAGCAAAGTCATTCAAACTGCAATTCTGACAAAGGGCGTAAGTGTTTGAATAAGCACCATCTATATGTCTTAGGCTTGCGTTGTCTAATCTGCATATGCAACATCTGTTCCTCCGCCGTGAAAAGCGTCTTAATGATGAACAAGATGTATGATGTCATCAGCCGAAGCAGATGGATCACCGTCATCTAAAGGTACAGCAGCGAATGATATTCTGAGGGCTTAAAGATAAGCAGATACGCAGCTGTTCGTTCAGGAAATCACACTGTCTCTCATAACCTCTCGCTCTCTCTGTGTCAGTCACTCACAAACACATGTAGACTTCGGTCTCTATTGTTTGAGGGTGAACAGACAGGTCCCTCAGAATTATTGTGCTCCAAGGAGACAGGACCAGGAAGTGGGGAAGTTCTCTAGGGAACAGGGATGCCATCAGACCTCTGCGGTCTCTGTGAGTGAGCGCTTTACAATGGCTACAGTAAACAAAGCTTGTAAGGCCACAAAAGACCTTCTGTGGAAAACTGTCCGTTACATGTGATCTATAACTTATCCACCTGGGGAGTAATATTTTTTCTGATACTCATTGGGGGGTTTTGCAGGAAGCGCAATAAGGTTTAAAACAGTGGACAGACGGATGTTCTTTTCAAAAGAGACTCATGCCAAACCAAAGCGGTGGCTTGGACGGGATATCTTCATCAAGGAACCATGAAATTACAGCCAAGGACTTGGTTGTGTTTGACCACAAAAGTTCTGAAAATGCAGACATGGGAGGATTGTGGGAATGTGTTGCAAAATCTGAAGGAAATGTCTCTCCGATCATCTGATCAACAGAAGATTCAGAAGACAAAATTCCATCTTACTTTTTTGCATTACTTTTCTTGCATCTATTAAAGAAAATGCATTAACAAAATTGACCAAATGTATACACTTATTAAAATGCAATAATTGCTGAATTAAAACATTTATTTTGATAATCTTTGATGGCTTTTTTTTTTCATAAAACCATGTAAAACCATAATGAAAATATAGAGAACATTTGTAAGAACTTGGTAAAGGTGCTTTAAACAGATTTTCTATCACGGTTATTATAGTAAACTAAAACCCTAAAAGAATAACATTTTTGTTACTTAAAAAAAACATTTACTGTAATAAAGTAATATATATATATATATGGAACTTATTTTATTTCAGCTAGTTGCAAAGGCAACATTTATCATTTTCATTTGAAATAACTAAAGCTGAAAAAATCTAAAAAAATATATCAACATT